TATAATCCATCGAGGCAGGGGACCTGGTCACAGAGACATGTAAAAGAGATTCATTCCTTAAAAAGATTTTATTTTTAAAAAGTCGATCCAGAAATTCCATTGCTGGGCATCTACCCAAAAGATCCAATGACACTCTACAAAAAAGACACCTGCACTCGAATGTTTATAGCAGCACAATTCATAATTGCAAGGCTGTGGAAACAGCCACGTGCTCATCAATTCAAGAATGGGATTAATAAAATGTGGTATATGTATACCATGGAGTACTATTCAGCTCTAAGAAAATCTCTCTAAGCTACTTGGGAGGCTGAGGCAGTAGGATGCTTGAGCCCAGGAGTTTGAGGTTGCTGTGAGCTAGGCTGATGCCACAGAACTCACCCAGGTAAAAGAGTGAGATTCTGTCTCAAAAAAAAAGGAAAACACCAATTTGATATGTATCAATCGAAACAGTTTTCCCTGGTACTTTTACTTATATGTATCCATACACTATATATATTTGTGTATGTGTTTACTTTTGACTTATATAAATGATATCATGTTTCTCATTTTGCATTTTGCTTATTGTTTTAGAGATATATCTGCACGATACTCAGAAGTTCAATTCATTCTTTTAATTACTTTCTTAAGCTCCAAAACCAACTAATTTTAAAAATGCAATAGAAGAATGATCCCAATCATACTAGCAACAAAAATTACTAGCATTACTGGGAATAAACCTAATATAAATTGCAATTCAGGTCTGAAAAAAATTATAAAACATTGTTGAAAGACATAAAAGAATACATGATTAAAAGGAAATATATACTATATTCCTGGAAGGGAAGACTCAACATGTAAAACATGATGATTCTTCTCAAATTGCTATATACATTCAATGCAATTTCAGTCCAGACATTTTATTTTTCCAAGGCATTTGTTTGCTTTACATTCAGACTTCCCTATCCACTATGCCACCTTTCTATAATTTCAAATGCTAAATAAGCAAGTGATGTTTCTTTTACAGAGTAGGTCTTACTGTGTTGCCAAGGCTGGAGTACAGTGGTTATTCACAGGCTCAATCACAGAGGATTATAGCCTCCAACTCCTGGGCTCAAGTGATCCTCCTGTCTCAGCCTCCTGAGTAGCTGGGACTATAGGCACAAGCCACTGCACCCAGCTAATTTTTAAAGATATTAATTTTAGGCCGAGTGCAGTGGCTCACGTCCGTAATCCTAGCACTCTGGGAGGCTGAGGCTGGGCGGATTGCTCAAGGTCAGGAGTTCGAAACCAGCCTGAGCAAGAGTGAGACCCCCGTCTCTACTAAACATAGAAAGAAAAATAATTGGCCAAGTAAAAATATATAGAAAAAATTAGCCAGCATGGTGGTGCAGGCCTCTAGTCCCAGCTACTCAGGAGGCTGAGGCAGAAGAATTGCTTGAGCCCAGGAGTTTGAGGTTGCTGTGAGCTAGGCTGATGCCATGGCACTCTAACCCAGGCAACAAAGTGAGACTCTGTCTCAAAAAAAAAAAAGATATTAATTTTATTTAAGTATGTACCCAAAGTCAATTTAAATAAGATAGTTTCTTAAGTATAAAGTTGGTTCCTTTTTTTGCCAGTTATATCTAGAAACAATAGTTTCCTTTGCATCTGCCTTCCTACTTGTCTCTCACTTTATTTTTTATTTTTATTTATTTATTTTTTGGAGACAGGGTCTTGCTCTGTTGCCTGGGTTGGAGTGCAGTGGTGCTATCAAAACTCACTGCAGCCTTCACCTCTTGAGCTCAAACAATCCTCCTGTTTCAGCCTCCCAAGTAGCTATGCCTGCAAGCATGTGCCACCATGCCAGGCTAATTTTTTATTTTTTATTTTTTTGTGGAGATGGGGGTCTCTTACTATTTTTCCCAGGCTGGTCTTGAATTCCTCCCACCTCGGCTTCCCCAGGTGCTGGGATTATAGGAGTGAGCCACTGTGCCTGGCCTTCAGTTATTTTTTTTTAAGACAATTTTTACTTCACCTTCCTTCTGTTCTGCTCTCCTAACATGCTAGAATAACAGCAGATCCTCAACCCAGCTCCTTCCTGATGATGCCCAATCCACACTTCTCCATCTTTTCATTATTAAAATTCATGGAAAGCATTAATAATATTCCTACCATTTATTAAAGGGGACCAAAAATTTTAGATGCATCACTTATTCATCACAAATCCCTGTGAACCAGGCACTAATATCTCCTTTCTACTTCTGGAGTTGGGATTATGTCTGAAGCTCAGAGAGTTCAATTCAGTGCCTGAAGTCACACAGAAGGGAGAGCAATAGAGCCAGGACTTGAAATCACATCTGTCTGCCCCCAAACTCTTTTTTTCCCCCTCATATTTCTATATCTTGTGGGTAGGCTGGAAATGTTTGGTTTACCAACTTCCTTCCTTGAAAACAATCTCCAGATGTCCTTCGGTTATCTGATAGCAGCACTGCACTCAGTTTGAGGACAGATCCCCTCAGATGCCTTTTCTTATCAACCGTCCTACTCTTACAGGAGCTTTGACTCCCTCCTGACACCCTGCAGAGAAGATGGCATGACTTTCTCCCCCTCACCCAGAGCCATGAGCAGCCATTAAGACCTGTGCAGAGCTTGTGGGGTCTGAGAAAATTCAAAAATAAAAAAAAAAAAAGTTCACCTCTTGTGCCCAGACCTCTGAAATATTGGTCTTCTTTTTGTCTACCCCCCAAAATATAAAAGTGTCCCTGCCTACTCATTCCCCATACATGCTTAAAACACATACCTTAATTAGAGCCTTTGTTCTGGAGAGTTCAGTGTTGCTAATTCCTTCTTCTCAGAGTCTGTGCACCTTCATGTGCATGTGCAGTTCGGTGAGTAGTAGCTCCTCTGAAGGTGTCCTCACACGAGTGACAGTGAGCAGAGAGAGAGGAAGCAAGCTCTCACCCAATCACCTTGCGAAGGCTGTAGGCGGTGGCTCACGCCTGTAATCCTAGCACTCTGGGAGGCCGAGGTGGGAGGATCGCTCAAGTTCAGGAGTTCGAGACCAGCCTGAGCAAGAGCAAGACTCCGTCTCTACTAAAAATAGAAAGAAATTAATTGGCCAACTAAAAATAGATAGAAAAAAATTAGGCGGGCATGATGGTGCATGCCTGTAGCCCCAGCTACTCGGGAGGCTGAGGCAGGAGGATCACTTGAGCCCAGGAGTTTGAGGTTGCTGTGAGGTAGGCTGATGCCACGGCACTCTAGCCCGGGCAACAGAGTGAGACTCTGTCTCTCAAAAAAAAAGAGTAAGGCCCTAATCCGAGAAGACTGGTGTCCTTCTAAGCAGAGGAAGACACACGTGAGGACATAGCAAGAAGGTGGTCATCTGCAAGTCAGGAAAACAGGCCTCACTAGAAACCAAATTGCTCTTGGACTTTGAGCCTCCAGAACTGTGAGAAAATAAATTCCTGCTGTTTAAGCCACGCAGCCGGTAGTGTTTTGTTATGGCAGCCACAGCAGACTAATACATGGGATATATGGGGACTCTGCACTGTCTACCTAGATTTTCTGTAAACTTAGGATTTCTCTAAAAAATAGTCTATTAGAATTTTTTAAAAATTAAAAACCGTATTAAGATGAAATAATAATAAATGAAACAATAATAAAAATATATTAATAATAAAAATAATTAATAAATAATAATTTTATTATTATATTCAAGTTGTATAATTTACACCTGGACTGGCTTTCCATGCCTGCACAAATGCATGTGTGCATATACATTTCTACTTGAATTGTAACGGTAGCAGCAATAAATTCTATCAGAGTGATTCCATTACTCACATATTTCATTGAAAATGCCATACTCATTATTAAAAATTACATCTATTCATCCTATGGTGACAAGAATAATAATGTAATGGCCATGTTGATTATGTCTGTTAACACACTTTCTTTAAATGAATATTTGGATGAGGGACATCCATCCTTCCTGCATTCCATGCATTACTGGTTGTGCTGCCAATCACACTGCTACACACCATTAAAAAGGAGGCTTATGACTTATGTCTGATCAATAAGAATTTTTCATCTCCCTGACTATCATGATTGGTTCAGAGAATCACACATCTTGATCTCCACATGGAAGAAACCTATTTGAAGGATGAAGCCAAGCAATGAAAATTACAGCCAAGAAATAAAGAGAATATAAAATTCTGATGAAATTGTTTGTGCACCTGGATCCAGCCATGCCTGAAGCCAGTGCAACCCTGGAAATAATAGCTGCATGATCCATTATTTCCCCCCATTAAAGTTTCAGCTAGTTTAAATTGGGCTTCTGGCACAATTAAAGAATTGAAACTAATGCTATGGTTTCTATTTATTGGATGCCTTTTATATACCAGTTCCTTTATATACCTCATCCTAATTATGTTTTACAAAAATTCTGCATGGTAGTTCTTATTATTTCTGTTTGAGGAAACTGAAGCTCAGAGAAGTTAATTGACTTACCAGTGGTTACCCAACTATTAAATTGAAGTCTAGACTTCAAGTCCGGATTCAAGGGATTACAAAGCACAAACTCCTAATTTTATCATTTTAAAATTAGGAAGTGTCAGAGTCTTTGGGTCATAGTTTGTGCTCAGTAAAATAATTGGGCATAAGATTCTCTGATAATAGGAAAGCCCTTTGGAAATCACTTTAGATCAATTTCCTCTAGCCCAGGGGAGGGAACGTGACTTCCAGAATTGTTGGGAAGTTGCCATAGAAATTCCACAATCTTCTCATCTCCAAAGCACTCATTCCCGGTGATAAGGAAAACTCCCATCTATTACTTGAAGCATCAGGCACCTGAGACCCCCAACCCTCACGGAAGACAAGCATCAGCATAACACTAACGTATTACCTGGCCCATCAACTAACCCATTACCTGGTGGGCATTAGTCACCCCTTGGACCACCCTAACTTAATAAAAGTGGGAAAAATGAGGTAGACAGGCTCAGAATTTGGTGGTTGAGCCCGCCAGCAAGTAAACTTTGATTCTCCAACTCTTTGTGTGCCTCTGGGTTAGTCCTGGGGACCACCTGCTATGACACTTGTTGTAACACTGGAGGGATGAGTAGATTTATTATATTCAAGTCCCAGAATTGTGAACTGAGGACACACCCTTTGTTTCTGCTGTTTGAGACCAAGCCAGTGGGGTAAGTGCTGGCCACCTGTGTGGAGGATGGTATCTTCCCCGGATATCGAGGGCAAGGACCTAACCAGGCCTGGCAGAAACAGACCCACTTGGCCGACTCAACACAGAGGCCTGCAGGCACGAGCACTTCTCCTATGAGATTCCAGCTAGCCCAAGAAGGCAACAGAGAGGTATGGCCCATCCCTCTGGCTAACATGGTGTAATGGATGACATGATAAACTCTCCCCAACCTGCCAGCTGTAGAATCTTATCCTCCTCCAGTGAGGAGCAGCAAGTGGGGGGGAAAGAGGAACTGGAATCGTTCCTTCTATTCCTGCCCGCCTCCTGGGGGTGTGCAGAAATTTTTTGTGGAAATGCGACTGAGGAAGACAGAATGTTCCCGAGTACAGATGACGCCCATTTTCTTGTTCCACTTTAGATGCCATTGCAGAATGGCTCTAAAGTCCTCTCAGGTTTTGCTTTGTGACCCCTAAAACCAATCCCTTTTGACTAGTAATTTCATTTCTTAGAAATATCCGCTGGTGCTTGAATTAACACCTGGGTAATTCCCCTCAGCAGTATCATTCGCCTTCTGACGCAGTTTGGGGAAAACTCCAGCTCCCCTGTGAGAGTTTTGTATGTGATGAGCTAAGGGCTCTCAGGTGTTGCTGATCCACGTGGTCATGGCGGAAACTATGAACTTGCCTCATCAGATGGTGGGGTGAGGGCGAGGGAAGCCACCATCCCCTCCCTAGCCCAGCTAAGCAAGGCCCAAAGGACCAAGGTGGAATTTCCCCAAGCCCAGTTTCCAGCTTGGGTAGATTTAAAACCCATTTGTTGTGAGTTCCTAAGATCCTTTTATCTGCCGTTCCTCCATACTAGGCACGATGCCTGGGGCACAGCAACTTTTTAATAAATGGTTGGATGGGGAACGAGGCACGATGAAGATATGGGAATCAGATGAGGACTTGGGGACAAGGTCTGCACAGCCAAGACTGAAGGATGACCCTCCTGCAGTGGTTCCTGGGCCAGATCAGAGGACTGGCATGGGCCCCTGCATAACTGGGCACCCACCTGCCCTTGCCCTGTGTATTTCTTTCCTGCAGCTGCTGCCATAAGGAATCATCACAAACCAGTGGCTTAAAACATCAGAAATGTATTCCCTCTCACAGTTCTGGAGCCCAGATGGCTGGAACCCAGCAGAGCTGCCCCTCCTCTGGACGCTCTGAGAGAGAACCCTTCTTTGCCTCTTCCAGCTCTGGGTGGCTGCCCCAGCAGTCCTGGGCTTGTGGCCACATCAGTCAAGCTCTGCCTCCATCTTCACACCTCCTTCTCCCCTCTCTGTGTCAAACCTCCCTCTGCCTCTAATTCACGTGCGATTGCATTTAGGGTCCACTGGATAATTCACGATAATCTCCCCATCTCAAGATCTTCGACTTAAATCACATCTGCAAAGGCTTTCCCTCCAAATAAAGTCACATTTACAAGTTCCAGGGATTAGGACGTGATGTCTTTGGGTGGCCATTATTTAACCTATCACCACATCCTGGCTCTGAAGACGGGCAGACTGTGACATAATTGGAAAAGAAAAGCTTCGGTTCCTCACCTTTGGGCCCACATGAGGAATCCAGGCACTCAGTGAGAAGGCAGCAGAAAGCAAACTGCAAAACCAAAGCCTCCAGAACCCATGGCCTCTCCAAGCCCACCTTTTGCCGCACAGATATTCATTCAGTGAGTTCTGGAATGCTGGATCAGATCTACTGGAAGCATCCCACCTAAAAGCAACTCTACTGCGTCCCTCCAAGGGTTTAGAAGACCATCTATCACTTCAGAAAGAAAAAGAGATTAGCAGTATACCCTACCTCCTTTCCTCTAAAATGAAGAGAAAGAAAAGGCTCTATTTAAATAAACCCCAAGTGTAAATGTGTAAATTGCCACTATTGCGGATATTTGTAGTAGATTGTCATCTAGCTGCTTTCTCTCTCTCTCTCTTTCGAAGTGGGAATGTTTTAAGTCCAGAGAGGTGAAGAGACTCACCCAAAATCACACAGCGATTTGGTGGTAGAGCCAGAGCCAGAACTCATGTCTTCTCAAGCACAGCCTAGGGCGCTTTTCTCTTTGCACTGCATTAAAAATTCTCATTTAATAACATTAAGAAGAGTTGTGGGTAAGGCTAGGGGAAATCTTTCTGGTTTTTTCTACAGTTTCCAACTATTAGGTCATTAAATAGGAAATGTCCGATTTTGAGTCGAAAGTGTAGTTTATTATATCTCAAAAGAGAAGCAGTGTAATTAATCAACGTATGTGCCTAAACTATTGGCACAGTTTTGCCATCTTAATCTTGCTTATGCCAGCAGTGAAGAAGCCTGGGGAGTGAGTGGCAATGAAATCATGAAAGACATTTTCTACAGCTTGTTGGGAATTGAATATATTTCCTTGCAAGAAGTGGCCCAAAGCCTGGAAGAAGTGGTAGTCAGTTGGTGCAAGGCCTGGTGAATATACGGTGGGTGACAGTTTCCAAGTCCAGCGTCTGTAGTTTGCGCAGTGTTGTCTGTGCGACATGTGGTCGAGCATTGTCTTGTATGAGGATTGGCCTGTCTCTATTGACCAATCTCGGCTGCTTCATCTCAAGCATCCTCATGATTCCGTCCAATTGGTTGCAGTAGATCCACTGTCATTGATTGACCAGGTTTCATGAAGCTGTATTGGATAATACCACAGCTGGACCACCAAACAGACATCAGTA